ATAGGGCAAAAGCCCTTTCCCAATGATTCTCCCCTTTTACTATTTGTCTCTGAAATCTTGTGTGATCACTGCTTTGACAACATGTAGTCTAAAAGAAGTAGAAAGTAAAAATCTATTGACCCTCTTAACTATACCCCTTCCCCTCTAAACTATACCTTAAATAATGCCTCTCTTCGGCTGGAAATGTGGCTTAGTGGTAGAGTGTTTGCCTAGCATGCATGAAGCCTTGGGTTTGATTCCTCAGTACCACATGAACAGAAAAAGCTTGAAGTGATGCTGTGGTTCTAGTGGTAGAGTGCTAGCCTTGCTTAAAAGAAGTTCAAGGACAGTGCCCAGGCCCTGAGTTCAAGCCCCAGGACTGGCAAATAAAATTGCCTCTCTCCCATGCTTATTAAAATGGCTACCTTATAAGTGGCATTTAATAGTATTTGATGAATAAAGAATTGACTTAATAACAGAAAGAGGGTTTCAAAGACATTATATGGCCCTCAACCATGGAGACTAGCTGAACAGTGTAGTGATAATAAAATAAGAATGTATCTACAAAATTAATGCTTAAAGAGAACTCAATCATAAAGAATAACTGAGTTATAATGTCATAAAACATAATGTACCAGCCTTTTATCACAACAAGGGATAATAGTAATAACATTAAATATTTATTGAGGATTCATCATTGTCAAGTACAGTTTTAATTATTCTATATCCATTAACCTTGTTTAATCCTCATACAACCTGTAGGTACCTACTTCAAATAGTTGGCCTGATCTTAAAATGCATTAGTACTTAGAAAGCCTCAGAACAGAGCTACATATAGTAATCATCTGATACATATAGTCTCTGTTCTCTATCTATCATCTATCATATATCTATTATTTGTCATCTATCTATCATCAGTCATCACCATTACCATGTCATATTCCTCAACACAGTCTTTCTTATCATTCTCATTTTGCAAATTAGGAGTCCAAAGCCCAATTCTTTAACTTAGCACAGATAGGTAGAGAATTCCTACAATTGGAATTGAAGTTGTTTGCCTTCGAAGTCCAACTCTACCTATGATTTCATGACATTCATATGGCTTCCAGTGTGGTGAGGGTTTGAAATGCCATCTACCTTTATATTCTGTAACAATAGGACCTGTCAAGTTTATTATGATCATTGTTAAATTTTATAAAATCAGATCTCAGTATCACATAGAATCTTAGTAGATATAAGAAGCAGGACTCCTCAGCTTTCACAAATATCTATAAACAAAGGACCTACTGGAAACCTATATCTATTCTGTACCAGAATAGTTTTGATAATCCTGGAAGTTTTTCTATAACTTCAGATCTAAACCTAATGCTGGATCACAAATCTTTTGTAAAAATAGATTCAGGAAGACAATAGAATCACCCACTTATTCACACAATGCCTTTCGAGAATTCTGGCATTCTTTCTCTGACAATATACAGACCTGTGACATTTAAGACAGATGTGATACATCCTGACCTATGAGGGAATGTGGCCATTTGTAATTTCCAGTTAGATGTGGATGGATTTTGTTAGTTAAGGTTTGGGGGTTGAACCAAAATTCATTCATGCATTAGCACATTTCCATAAAGCTGCACTGATAACACAGAGAAAGAAAGCTCTTGATTTTAATCTAGGTCTAAGCAAATGGCGGTCATTGTCACTCTAGATTATGCTTGCGTTCTGCAGTTATTACTTTAAAAAATATTGAAAACTTCAGTGTCACTGATGCCATAAATATCTGTGACAAAACATCCAGACAAATTAAAATCTTTCTAGTAGAACTAGAGGTGGAAGCCAATGAAATCAGGAAATTTAGCCATGATCTTTGGTTTGTTTCCAAGTTATAAAAATCTTCCTCTTGCTTTTGTTGTGTTTTATTTTTTCCCCCCCACAGGTCTGGCAGACCTACCCGCTTTGAAATCCGAAAGCAAGAAATCTGGCAGGAATTTCACTTACAACAATCTAATTTAGTCTTCACAAAGATTTTAAGAAACAGATAATATGCCCATTTTGTTGGTTTGGAACTGACAGGAGGTAAGTATTACTTAGAATAAAAACTTGATAGCTTGATATCCACTGCATTGTCTTTCTAGCCTACAGTGAGGCTTCACAGTACAGGCAGGAAAGTTGAACCTTTCCTACACTTGTAGGTAACCTGGAAGATGATGGGAATCTGCTTTGTTCTCATAACTCAATATTGCTCCCATGGCTTGTCCCACTACCCCCAAGGGACCTTCCCAAAATTCTCCAGCCCAGAGTTTTATTCTAAATATGAAAGCCCACTCTCCTAGCCCCTCTTAGGGGACAGGCAGCTGAGTTCCTCAAAACAGACGCATGTGACTTGCTCAGATAACAGGTTCCCAAGCCAGACCTGCACCATAAACAATTTGAACTCTTCAGCGACCTGGGACCTTAACCCCCATACATTACCCTACTTCAGCCCCTCCACCCCTGGCCCCAGCATGCCTCGAGTCTCCCGACTCTCCTGTCACCATGGCTCTTCAACTTCCCAGTAAAGTTAACCTGGCCTGTTGAGTTCGCTTTCTACCCTTTGTTTATTCTTTATTCTAATATCCTTATGACTCCACTTCCTAACTGTGGATATAATTTAAATTCTCTCATAGAGAAGCTTTTGGAAGACACTGCAAAGCAGGAGTGAGCCAAGAACATTTATTAACTTAGCACAGCTGGGAAGAGACTGATTTTGCTTCTGTTGTTTCTACTGACAAGCAAGATCGTGGGATTTTTGCCATGGCAACATCTTGGTTCCCAGGTGAAGGTACTGACAGAGGACATGGGAAATCTATTGTTTGTATGCAGGTGTGAATTCAGCACACAAGTCATAGCTTTGAAACTATTCCTTGCAGTGAAGACAGAATCTTGGTCCCTAGATGGCAACTTAGGTGGCGTATTCTGTGGCCCACAATCCTTGTGGTGGCTTCTGAAGGTCTCACCTTCTTCACTATTCAGAATAACAATGGTCCTGCAGAATGAAGCTCATCATATTCTCTGGATCTCCTCTGACCATCTTACACTGATCGTCTAATTGCCCTCATTTTTTTTATTAGTGCCTACGGTCTGATTAGTAGCAAGAAATATGATTAAGTTATCAGAAGCTATGATAAAATGGCAAAGATGAACTTAATATGCAAGATATATACCCAGCTTGGGGATTGCCAAAGGGAGTTGATGGATGAATCAAGGTTGGGATAAACTAATTGTTGGAACAATTAGTAGAAAGTAGTAGAAAACTAATAGAGCCACAGAGGCCAGTGGTTCACCCCTGTCTACTTGCTACTCAGGAGCTTGAGATCTAAGGATCGTGGCTTGAAGCCATCCCAGGCAGGAAAGCCCATGAGATTCCTTTCTCCAATAAACTACCAAAAAAAAAAAAAAAAAACCAAACCAGAAATAGAGCTGTAGTTCAAGTGGTAGAGTGCTAACCTTCAGCAAAAAAGCTCAGGGACAGCACCCAGACCCTGAGTTCAAGCTCCAGGACTGACACATAAAAAGAAACGAAAAGCTGTAGAGAATTGAAGCATGTGCTCTAAGAATACCAAACTCAAATGTTCTTGTGCCTTAGTAGCATTTTGTACAAAACCCCACAACTAACACAGTTAATTATGTTATTGTTTTGTTTATGTTTAGTTTTGCAAATTTCGGTTCTTTTTCTTTTCTTTTCTTTTTTTTGTCAGTTGTAGGGCTTGAACTCAGGGCCTGGGCACTGTCCCTCAGCTCTTCAGCTCAAGGCAAGTGCTCTACCACTTGAGCCACAGAGCCACTTCCTTGGTTTCTTTTTTGTGGCATAAAAATCTTTCATTGGGTAATATAGCATAAGGAATTTGACTTAAAAATAATGTGAGTTTATACTAGAAGCACCCAAGAAATAGTTTTCCTCGAGAAATCCCCATATATAGCTCAGGTCTGAGAAATTCTATATTCATGAGCACTTCCCATCCCAGTAGTTCTCAGCTAGGGTTATATTGTTCCCAAGGTGACATTTAGCAATGTTTGTAAACACTGGTTGTCACAACTTTGGGACTGTTAGCCTGTATTGTGATCTTCCTAATTATACTTCCTACCACAGCTGGAATGCAAAAGTGCCACCGCAACCAGATTTTTCATTTGCAGAGGAGACTCAGGAATATTTTTTTCAATATTTTTTACAATCTTCTCAACCTCTGCCTCCCAAGTAGCTATTACAGGTACACACTACCAATGCCTTGATACTTTCGTAAAAATTTTAGAAATGGATATTAATCTTTGCTGGGTCATAATACTATAATTAGCAACTATTTCCCCGTGGCATATACTGTCTTTTTCTTTTGCTGCAAACTCATTTGTCAATCTTAAATTTGATGTAGACTCATGTGTCTGTCTTTTGTCCCCTGTACTTTTTGAATCCCACCCCCAAAATCATTGCTTATAACCAATGCCTTTAAGTGTTCCCTGTGTGTTTTCTGCTAGTAGAGTAATAGCATCAAGTCCCTTCCATTGAAGCTTTGGATACATTTTGAGTAGATTTTGTTGCTGTTGTTGTTCTTCCGAATTCCTCTAGTACTATATTAAGGTAGAATGGTGAATGTGAATTTAGTTTCTTCCAGAACTTAGAAGAAACTCTTACAGCTTTTCCCTATCCACTATGATGGTGCTTATCATATGTAGCCTTTTTTATTTTGATGTACACTCTCCAAATAAACAAGTAAACTTATTGGCCCACACTACATTTTCCTCTGTTTTGCCAATGTATTATCTGTACCCTCACTGGGAGAATAATATCCTAGGCTTTGAGTCACTTTCATATTTTCTGGGTTAAATTTTATATACACTTCAATCTAATGAAGAATGTAGGAAGAGAGAGGAGCATAAAAGAAGAAAATAAGACGTTATTTGGAAAAGGGAAAGGCCAGCTCAAGGGATTTTTAATAACGAATATAGTAGACATTTAACAAAGAGCCAACTGTCAATCAAAAGCTGCTTACCTTTGCACCCCTCACAGGTCAGGGCGTTGTAATGGTATCCAGATGCTCGGTCTCCACAAACAACACACAGCTCATCCCCTTTGATTCTCCCTGCTGATGTACCCATCCGGGGTTTCTTTGTTACAGGCATCTCTGTCATTTCAGTCTCTCCCTGGTACAGGGACTCAGCTGGCATTCTCCTGAGTTCATATATTCCAGGAGAGTACCACTCTTCTGGCTGCTGGGGGTAGAAACCCAGGTTGGGATAATAGGATGATGAGGAAATCTGTGGTTGAACTTGGGGAAATGGAACATTGCTGTATTGTGAGTATGGTTCCACATCCAGATTCTGTCCTAGGGAACCTGCCACTTGTTCTGTGAGCACACCTGGACAGAAGCAACAACAAAACTCATATTAATGTCATCATTCTAGAAATGAGAGCAGCAGTTTAGCACAATGGTGAGGAGGAGGAACTCGAAGACTGAACTATATCTAACGATATAAACTGTGCACATATATATTATAAAAGTATATTTACATATATAACATTAACTTTGAAAATACATGTGCATATAGATATTTAAATGACAGTTTATAAGGTCTGAAAATATCTGCCACTTTGGAAGATAAACCACAGATGTATCACCAATATGTAATGAGAACCTATGAAAATGGAAAAGGGGCATGAACAGGCGCCTGTGGCTCATGCCTGTAATCCTAACTACTCAGGAGGTTGAGATCTGAGGATCATGGTTCAAAGACAGACCAGGTAAGGAAATGTCCATGAGACTCTTATCTCCAGTAAACCACCAGAAAACAGGAAGTGGTGCTGTGGTTCAAGTGCTAGAGCGCTTGCCTTGAGCTGAAAAACTCAGGGACAGTGTTCAAGCCCAGAGTTCAAGCCCCATGACTGTCAAAACAAACAAACAAACAAGTGGTTACAGACACAAAATGTGTTTCACTCTGCCAACAATTAAGCTCAAATTAAAGCTACCATTTTAACCATCCCCATAGATCCATTTTAACCATTTTTAATCCTCAAGTTTGTAAGAATTTTCAAAGAGTTTCATAATACGATGATATGGAAAATTTTATACTGTATGGTTTTATTTGAAAAATGTAAACTATAGAATGATTCATGTATTTGTGGAGGTACTTTACATGGTGTATGCATCTTTGTAAGCAAATTTTTGCATGATGCCTCACAAACTGAATGGCCATGAGTGTGCAAGGTGATATTATTGCATTATTTTCTGAGACAACACAATCTGTTTTACTGTTTGTGGTTTTTGCCACGCATATGTGTTACTTTAATTGTTCCAAAACAAAGGAAGGACTCTTAAACAACTGAAAGAAAAGAATTTAGTATCTGGAATTTACCTGGATTCAAGTTCCTGTCCTGTTATTTTTTGCATGCAGTTGGACATTTCCTTAGTGTCTGTAAGTTGCAATGGCCTAGCACCGGTGGTTTCTACCTGTAATTCTAGCTAATCAGGAGACTGAGATCTGAGGATCCTGGTTTGAAACCAGCCCAGGCAGAAAAGTCCATGAGACTCTCCTCTTCAACACACAAAAAAGCCAGAAATAGAGCTGTGGTTCAAGTGGTAAAGCGCTAGCCTTGAGCAAAACAACTCAGGGACAGTGTCCAAGCCCTGAATTTAAGCGCCCCCCCTCCACATACAAATTGTGTTGATGTCAGATTAAATGATAAATGTATGTCAACTATTTTGCTAAATTCACCATATGACAAGTACTCAATAAAATAGCTGACAAGTTGGGCATTGATGGCTCACACCTGTCATCCTAGCTACTCAGGAGGCTGAGATCTGAGGATCATGGTTCAAAGCCAGCCCAGGCAGGAAAGTCCACCAATAAACCACTAGAAAACCGGAAGTAGCACTGTGGCTCAAGCAGTAGAGCACTCTCCTTGAGCTAAAGAGGCCAGGGACAGTGCCCAAGCTCAGAGTTCAAGCCCAATGACCGACAAAAAAAAAAAATAGCTGACATTAATAAGACCAATGATTACTACCACTATTATTAAACAGTTGTTTATATATAAGCCTCTAGATAATAGAAGAACTACCAGATTATGAAAATGTTTCATAGATGAGGCATTCAGGAAATAGGAATATTTAAATTATGCAAAATGCTAATTAAAGTATGTAATAGACATAGTAGACATAGAAGAGAGATAGAATAGCATTGTTGGACATCTCTGAACCGAAAGTCCAATTTCATCTCTTGTGAACAATGAGACTTGAAGCACATTTCTGGAATTACTGGTGACTCTCAGTTTTCGCAATGGCAAACTTGGGAAGAAAATGAAGGGTAATATTGATGATTGAATGAAATAATGAAAGGTTTAACATTCTTCATCTGAAATAATTGGAACCAGATTGGGGACAGGAGTTTGGGGAGGGAGGAGTTGTTCTGTTTTACTTTAATTTTTGTTTATGACAGTACTAGAGTTTTAAATTCAGGGTCTCACACTTACTAGACAAGTCCTTTACCTCTTGAACCATGTCCTTAGTCCCTTTGTGCTTTAGTATTTTTTTGTGGGTCGTGGGGCTTGAACTCTGGGCTTGGACACTGTCCTTGCACTCTTCAGCTCAAGGCGAGTGCTCTATCGTTTGAGCCACAGTGTCACTTCCAGTTTTCTAGTGGTTAATTGGAGATAAGAGTCTCATGGACTTTCCTGCACCGGCTGGCTTTGAACTGAGATTCTCAGATCTCAGCTTCCTGAGTAGCTAGGATTACAGGCGTGCCTTAGTATTTTTAGATAAGATATTACATTATCCCAGAATGAGCCTCAAATCACTATTCTACCACATCTGCTTCTCCTGTAACTGGGATTAGAGGCATGTATCACCATACCTGACCTTCAGTTGTGTTTCAGGATTCAAACTTTTCTGAATTTTTAGAACAGAGTTCAGTGTTACTTATGTACAACACACTCAGCACTGCTGAGGAATCAAACACAATAGCATTTGCCACAGTAAACTAGTATGAATTTTCACACATGGTAGAAAAAATGCTGGTCACAAATAGTTTCAGTTCAGGGCTGGGAAGGTGGCTCAGTGGTAGAGTGCTTGCCTTGCATGCCTGAGGTCCTGGGTTCAATTCCTCAGCACCACATAAGCAAAAAGAAAAAAAGCCAGAAGTGACACTGTGGCTCAAGTGGTAGAGCGCTAGCCTGCGCCCAGGCCCAGAGTTCAGGCCCCATGACCAGACTCCAAAAACAACAACAAAAAAACCAAATAGTTTCAGTTCAGATTTTGCCACCAAAAAAGCTTTTCACAAACTTGAAAGAAAAATGGTTTTCAGTGCTTGTGGAACTTGGAATTGGCAATTAATGGTTTGGGATCTATGTGCTATATACATAGGGTATACTCTTTGAAGTATTCAGATGATTGATATTCTTCTTATCACGATCATTGACAGAAAAAATTATATATTCTTCCTAATTCTAACCACTTGTATATTCTCATTTATTCCTCCCCCCCAAAAAAAATCCCATGATGCAGGCAATGCTATTATCTCCCACTTATAAATGAGTACCCTGTGGCACTTATTGGTAAAAGTGAAGCAACTTTACTTCTACCTACCTTCTTAAGTAGCTAAGATTTGAACTTTGGGAAAGTCTGACCTCAGGCACTAAATCATTACTCTCTAGGGTGATTTCAGATGTGAGATGCTTCAAAACACAAGAACTCTTCTCTTCCTCTGCTCTCTTAACTTGAATTTGTCATTCTCTTCAATGCCTCTACTTATACCTAACCTGCAAGGAGGCCTCCACAGCTCTGCATGTATCACTCTTGCTTTTCCACTGAACATCTGTTTCCTACAGATTCAGGACATTTTTCCCACATGCAGTTTCCCAAGCTGGGAACCTTCTTCAACACAGCTACCAACATCCAGAGCTTCATCATTGACCCCCCACATGAGGGGGGTCTCTGTAAATATTGCTCATCTTGAGAGATCTCCTCTAGATCTAGGGTGTGAGAATATGGTTTTAGCTAGTCATAGTGTGTTTAAAAGTCATTACCTACCTAACCTGCCTGGGTCTTCTTGTATACATCTGTAGAGAGAAGGCTCTGTGCTAGATAATCTTTTCATTCTCCTTTATATCTAAAATATTCCTAAGCACAAAATAGTTGAGGAACAACAGCATTCAAGACTTCTCTACAATGGCAAAGTAGAGGATGTACATGTTACATCCTGACCCAGGAAATGGCTGTGCATACGATATATAATACTTAAGCAAAACTCCATTTTCTTCCTTTATGCCCAACTGATCCAGGTAAACCAGCAGAAAACTCAGTATATCTTACAGACAAAGAGAAGTATGGGACTTTGTCTTGTGAACACAATATGGAAGAACAAAAATATGAAATTAATAAATATAAGCAAAATCTAGATTCATTTCATAACCAAATATGACTAAACATTCTGGAGTGAAAAAGATGGAAGGTAATTAAAAAGAGAAGGTAATTAAAAAGAGAATTAGTTTCACTCATCCCTAGATTTTATCTTCGAACCTATCTCCTCCACTCTCCCTCCCACTACAGACCAGTTTCTCTCTACCACAGTATTGGTAAGGTTAAGCAATTTGCCCAAAATCAATCAACCAATTAATAACAGAATCTGGCTTCTGTTGATCCCAAAAATGAGTATTTTTTCTCCTCAAATTAGCAATTTAAAATCTCTGAGCATTGTTTCAACAAAATAAATGTTTCCATAATCAAGAAACAACCAAGTGGGCTGGGAATATGGCTTGGTGGTAGGGTGCTTGCCTAGCATGCATGAAGCCCTGGGTTCAATTCCTCAGTACCACATAAACAAAAAAGCCAGAAGTGGCACTATGGCTCAAGTGGTAGAATGCTAACCTTGAGCAAAAAAAGCTCAGGGACAGTGCGTAGGCCCTGAGTTCAAGCCCCAGGACTGGTCAAAAGAGAGGGAGGGGGGAGGGAAAGAAACAAACAACAGAGCACTCATCTCAGGTTAACTTAATCTCTGAAATCATCTAGATTTAAAAATCTCTTACAAAGGTATAGATAGATAGGTAGATAGGTAGATAGATAGATGGATCTTTTACAAAGATACAACTATGAGGTTTAAAACAATTAAACAGGGTAAAAATAAGAGAAAAGTGCCCAATAATATTAAATAACACTTTCATTCTCAAAGTCTATTCACTCCTAGTGTGCTCACCAACACTCCACAGATTATAGAGAGGTCAATGTACAGGCATCATGCAACCAAAGAAGAGCATGGCTAACATATTCCAAAATGGTTGATAATTTCAACAGTTAACCAACTATGAGATCTTAAAAAATTGCACACACCCTATTTCTGTTCCAATCTCTTCCATAAAATGGAACTAAGTAAAAAAAATATAGCTACAGAGAACCTAGGGAAATCCTGGTTTTAATGATAGCTAATTAGGAATTATTAACACATAGTCCTCTTTGATGATGTAGTAGGACAATCTTTCGTTATAAGCACCCATTGAACCCTTTACTATGTGCTATACTTTGTTTTAAGCTCTAAACTACCACCGTGAACAAAATAAATAGAAAAACCCTAGGCTTTCTCTTGTTTGGGTGTTAAGGCAATGCCAATATCTGGGGCAAAAGTAAATAAGAAAACAGATACACAGTTGTATGGTTGGAAACATGTGGAGGGGTTGAAGAAGTTCAACTTTAGATTATATGAATTTGGATATCTTTATCACAGGAATTTTTCCACAAGAGTTTAAGGAAGATAGAATAGGGATGTAGTAAAAGTGATAAGGTATTTGCCTGGCATGCACAAGGCCCTGGGATCAGTCCCTATTGCTATATATAACTATATAAACTATACAGTTTATGGATGAGTTGTATGTGAATGCATAGACAAAGTCTAGGGAAGTCTGTCAATCCCTGGGGGAAGAAAAGAAAAAAGAAAAATTCTTCTAGATAGAAGGTATCTGGCATTCAATAAGTACACTGAAATGCCACCATCTAAAAGAGCTTTCTCAGAAAATAGAAGGGTTCTACACCTACCAATATGTGGCAGCCACTAACCAGATAGAGGTGTTCAACACTGGAGAGGTGGCTAGACTTAACTAAGGTATAGAATTGCAAATTTTATCAAATTCTAAGTACTTAAAATTTAAAATTAAGTAGCCACACACGGTAGTGACTGTCCAATTAGATAGTCAGGACAGCTCTAAGGATTCTGTGGCCAGAATCACTGTGGACCCAAGAGGGAGAATCAGGTTCACACGATAACAATGGTACTTTCCTATGCTCTTGAGTTTCTGATGCTCCTGGAGAGAAGAATCCAGGTTCCTTCCAGGTTGAAATTCCTGGTTTAATACTGTTGAGCACAGCAAATATTTAATGAGTATTTTTTGAAGTAAATGGAAAAATTGCTTTTCTAACCATTCTTAATTTCTGGTATCCTGGAGGATGATACAACTTCATTTGTGAAGTTGTTTGCTGTGTCTGTCACCGGGCCTTTGTGATGTGGGTGCCTGTCTCTACCTTGTCAGCTGATAGCCTCTTCTGTGAGTCTTACCCCAGTTCCCGTTGGGGTAAAATTAATCTCTCCTACCCTCTGTACACACCGCTAGTACAATGCTTATCAGAAGCACGTACAACGATTTTTATTTGTTCACAGGCTTATCTTCCCTGCTGCTAAACTTGAACTTATATTAAGAACTGGTTGAAAGTGCATGGCCAAGTGGATGAATCTGGACTCAATTCACCTGCAACTTGTTAAATGTCTAACTTGAGCAAGGCACTGAATTCTTTGAATTTCAGTTTCTTCCTCTATAAAACTGGAGTCATGCAAGCACTTATGTCAGAGATTGAAACAAAGCTGAACAAAGACGCAGAGTGTAGATTGCATGGTGCCTGACTTACATTTTTGTTATTGTGTTACAGCCTGTGAAGTCTTTAGGGGCAATATTAGATAATATTTCCTTTTCAAAAATCATTTCTGGCACATGACACAATGCCCAACACATAGTAAATATTTAATAAGTGTATGTTAAAATTGGAGAGAATGGAATTTTGTTTTCCTAGGCTTTTAACTTCCATTTCTGAACATGGTGTAGGTCACTAAAAAATATCACAGTGGAACAAAAGTATGAAATTATGAACATGTTAATAATGACAAGATGATTCGAATTTCTTTTTTGGTGGAAATGTTCAAAAGATAAGTCTGTTTTGAGAAAAATATTTATTTTTTATATTTAGAATATATTTTCTTTTAATTATTTTAGCTTATATTTTGATAGAGATTAGTCTAAACTATAGCTCTGCTCTTTATTTGATTCACCAAAGTCCAGGGGAAGAAACCTGCTGTGAATCTAGGGCATAAAATTCATGTTTCTTACTTCATAGATATTATTTTTAACCAAATCCCACAGTATCAAATACATCTTATAGTATAATCTCTATTACATAGCCCCATTTATATACACATAACTGAACGAAATTTCCATGAAATAATATTTATCTTCACTTCTGAGAGGCATATATCTGTCTACTCTTTTTATTCTATTTCAGATTTTAATGCTGGTCACAAACTTCTAAATAGATTCCATTAGCCACCTAGACCTGTGGCTCATCATTCTTAGAACCCAGCATATACTTTTGCAAGTATCCATCAGCTTTAATAATATTAACATTCAACCCGAAAAGGTTGTGTAAATTTGATCTAAAAATTGATGACAAAATCTAGAGATATAATTAATCTTAATAAAATACTCACTTGCTTAGAATACTTAAAAAATTACCCCCATCCCCACTTCCTGATCCAATCTTGGATAAAGATCTGTGGCTAGAATCTCAAACAAAAGACCCCCATCTTTCCACAGTCCAGTTGAAGAAGTTTGAGTCACAGCACCTGTGAATTGCGTCCTACCTTTAGCAGGCTTCATGCTCATCATTTCTGTGACAAATCCTGCTGATATGTGGCTGTGGTGAGGACTAATTTGAATTGGATTTTCTAAACCCTGAAACTGCATTACCATTCTTGCTTATTCACAGCAACTGAAAATGAGACTAGGTAAGAGTGAGAGGGGACAGAGGTTGTGTGGTTTACTGATTAACTTCATTACAGAGCAGAATATTTGTAAATGTTTATGAGAAAAGTCCTCAATGCCAAATTGCCTAGTAAGCTGGAAACCAGTGTCTTAGATAAACATTATTTTGGAGAGCATTTTTCCAGCTTAAGAACTCTGTGAAGATGACTTTCTGTCCAGGGTCTCTAAAACTAGATTTGGAGTTTGTAATGCCATGTTTGACATCTTGATATTTGTCCCCATCAGAAGGCAAGAGAATGATAAGATTCTGTAATGTTAGGAAGCTTTAGAGGATAGTGTTTAATAGTGTAAGGTCTGGAAACTTTCTGACCTGGACAACTGTGTTTGTATCTAGTGTTGTGCATTGAACATTGTTCTACCTACAATCCGGTCCATATGTTGAAGTTTAACCCCCAGGGCCTTGAGAATATGACCTGATTTGTAGGTAAAGGTAATATAGATGATCTTTATACATAAAGGTAATTAAATTAAAAGGCGAATTAGGGTCTGTGGTAAAGAAACAGAAGACAGACATTGACAAGCCAAGGAGGAAAAGTCTTCAACAGATTCTTCCCATAAAACCTCAGAAGGAACCAATGCTTCCCAAACGTTGGTTTTAGATTTCTAGTCTCTAAAACTGTGCCAAAATTTTTTTGTTGTATAAAACACCACATTCAGGTTCTTTGTCACAGAAGCCCTAATAAATTAATACATGCAGTCTTCCTTGCTATTTACTAGCTCTATGGACCATGAAAAAAAAAACCCTGAACCATTTCCTACCTTGTTTCTCATCTGTCAAAATGGGAATGATAATTACACAAACTCCTAGTACTCTGTGGGTTAAATAAAATAATATTAATTAAATGCTTAGCTAGTTGCTGGCTATCTGTTCTTGCTACAGAGATGCTATGATTGTTCAGTTTTGGATTCATGTTGCAGCTTGCCTTTGCTTACTGAATATAACATAATTCCAATTCTTATCCTGGAGTTTAATTTCTGGACATCAAGCGTAAGTCTGTTGGCTTCTTTGTGAAGAGAAGGCTTCTGGAGGGGACTCCATCATTTCAGGGCTGAGCTCAGGCAAAATGCAGCAAGACACCCTGTGTAATCTTAGGCTAGCCCCCTAGCTCCTGTAGGCCTTATTTGTCTACATTAACAGATGGTAAAACCTAGATAGTAATTCTTGCCCTACTTCCCTCATAGGCCTGTTGTGAAGATAAAATGAGACCGTAAACATGAAAGCAATTTTGAGGCAAAGGTGACATATGAATGTAGTGATTGCTAACCCCTCTCATCAGCCTTTACAAGAGTACAAAATCGATTCATAGCATTATCTCATTGGGTGCTCACTTCTAGCTCTTCAGAAAAGTATTAATTATGATACCCCACAATCTTCAGCCTTCTTTTACACAGGGGGAAGAGCATCTCAGTGAGATTAAGTAATTTGTATATAATTACCCAGATTATAGGAGATAGAGCTGGAATTCAAATATACAAACTCCAACTCAGAATCCAGTGGTTACAAAATTAGGGCACACATGCCCCGATTGCCAAGAAAAAGGAAAACAGTGATAGCCATGGGTGTGTTTTGGCTTAGAATGTTCAGTCAAGGGTCATCATTTGCAAAGCTGTTCTCAGTTTATTTCTGACTTCTTTCTCCTTGCCTCAGAGCTATGCTTGCCCTGAGAGAATCTTAGGTTGAAGAGCTAGCTAAAAGATATGATCCAAGACAAACAACCTTCACATTCCTATTTCAAGAATTCTCTACTCAATTTCTTACTGGTCAACATAAAGGGTTCTATCTATTGCCCTCAGAAACATCTACCCTAGATAAGAAATGAACAGGACTGGGCAGGATGGAGGATGAGCAGGATGGTTTAGCAGAGTCAGGAAAACCTTGTTACCAAGAAAAACTCACAGAATGTTCTCAACGGAAGATAGGCTGGATCCTTCTGCATCAACTGCCTCCTATTATTTTTCTTCTGTTTTTTTTTTTTCCTGAAAAACTAGACTATCTGAAGTGGTAACTATTAACTGTGGGTGGCTACCTAAACTTGTCAGTTGAGAGCCACTTCCTCAAGTATAACCAGTCACAATTTTAAGTGGTGACTATCACACACATGTAGTGGCTACTCTATCAACATCGATCTAGAGTCATCTCTGTCATCACAGAGTTCTTCTGGACAGCACTGGTGCAAATGGTACTTGGGGATAATGTGAGTTGGCCATCAGCTATGAAGACATGGGAAAGGGAAGTCCTAGAGCAAATGTGGACAATGTCTTTCTGAGTACTATCCTTGAGAAGATGGGCCTTTGATACGATCTCATTGCACTGACTTCCTCCACTGAGGTGAACAAGAGTGTTTTCTTAGCTAGGAGCCTTAGATATTCAAATAGGATTCCTTGTCCTGGTTGTGTTTTTTTGTATACATACCATATACTGACTGATAGATTATTTATCTTCTTTAAATGTCCATTTCCTCACCATAAAAGGGCAATAGTAATGGCAGATATTTAATAAGAGCATTGTGAGAATTGGTTGATATTAATGGCAAGTAGAATATAGGTTCTTCCAAGGTGTGTGGCATTCTTCTGTAAACCTTATGAAATGAAACAAGTAGCTTACACAAAGTTAAGGAAATTTGCCCATGATCACAGCTAGTGGATGGCAGAGACCAAAATGAACCAGGAAGCCAGACACTGGGGGCTCACACTTGTAATCCTAGCTACTCAAGAGGCAAGATCTATGGTTCGAAGCTAGAAAGGACAGCGAAGTCTGTGAGACTTGTATCCCTCATAAACTACTCAGAAAAAGGCAGAAATGGCACTAAGTGACAAGTGGTAGAGTACTAGCCTTGAGTAAAAGGAGCTCAGGGACAACACCCAGGCCCTGAGTGCAAGCCTCAGGATCAACACACACACACACACACACACACACACACACACACACACACACACACACACACCCCTAGGAAGTCTACTAAGAAATCTACAATGTATTTAGTATGATGATTGGCAGTATAAAAAACTCTGAAGAAATGGGTATCAGCTTAATATTTCTTATCACAGTAAATTTATAAATTTGCAATTTGATTTATAGTCATTCTTCCTCAACTTGGTGACCCTGAGAATCTTTTTCTTAGCCTGCTAGGTTGAGAGCTATGTCCTACCATGCAGTGGAATCATCCACTAGCTAGCCAAGGTGTCTGGAACTCTCTGTCTCACTACACATACTCACCGAACTATGCATGTCCTAGTTAAAAGAAGCAGTAATCTATTTTTGTAATAAGAAAAGACTCAATGTGCCTTTCCTTCTCCATTTCCTTACTCCACTAACAAAAAGATCAGATAAGAGAGAACAAATACACAAAGTCATCCACAGGGGATTAAAAGACGTCTGAGTCTTCTTAGCATTTTGGATAAGAAACAGCAGTAACAAAACATTTCAAGTATGCTAAAGCTCCAATTTATTTGACCCACTAATAGCTTTTCATCCTCTGGCAACTTTCAGCTTTCATTCACCTAGTAGGTCAGAACTATACTCACTTGAGTTGAACACAATGAGATGGAAAAATACTTGAAATCAAATGTCAGAAATACTCTTTAAACTGCATCTCAAGACTTCTAATTGTATGCCAAAACATCTGGATGGTTCTGTAACACCTGGAAGGTTCTTTTAATTTAATAGTAGTGTCTTCAAATAAAAACAAATATACATAGAAACAATGTGTATAAATAGATGAGTAACATACAAAAATTAAGGAAAAATAGTTCAGGGAAATGGAACATAAGAGAGTAAGATTATATGGAATTTATCTCCTGCCACTTGCTGAATCTCATTCAGAATGGGGCTTTGGAAAAACTATTAGGTACAATAATGAAAATAATCCCAACCCTTGGGAGGTTGAGGAAGGAGAATCAAAATTTGAGGCCAACCTGGGCTACATAGTAAGATACTGTCTCGAAAAAACAAAGCAAAACAAACCAACGAAACAAAAAGTTACGTATTATTATTATATATAGTTAATACCCAATTTCAAAAGATGTTAGCAATGCTATAATGCCAGCATGCTGCCTTCCTCAGGAAACCCGGAAGTTTATTTATATATTGTTGATTCTTGTGTGGGCTCCTTGAAAAATTCCTTGCACTCAACAATGCAAAGATAAACATTACTTCCTTCTTTTAATGAATGGAGTAGTGTTTATTATTTCAACAATTTAAAATGTAGCAAGTGCCTTTCAAATTCCAAATTAACCATATGTTTTTTTAATACCAAACAATTGACAGAGCACTTTCCCACACAGCAGACTCTCTCTTTTCAGTAAGCTGTGAAATGTCTTCATCTCTATTTTACAAAGAACAAAACTGAAATCCAGAGGGTCACTTACCTTTGACACTTCTATCTTTTTTATTTCATTTCTCTGCCTGTATTTGGTGAGCTTTCCCCAATATCAGGGAGCTAAACGAATTACCTTACTCTGGGAACACTGGACATAGGAGTATACAATTTTACTTCCTCTGGCTTATTCTCTCCTATTATCAGAATGCTTGTAAAGTCCAGTGATTTTTTTTTTAGTTTTTAAACCATGTTGACTAAAAGGAAGTACAGGTTTTGATTAATATCCCCCCTTCTACCCTATTCACGATGTCAAACTGTGGGAACCCAGGAACTTTGTCATTATTGCTTTTCATTATGCATGAATTCCAAAAACACCTTGCCTTCATTCATCAGAGATGGATTTTGTAGGGCACTAAATTAATCTTTGACCAGAAGGAAAGTAGACCTATGTCTGTCGGGTCAGCTTGTCCTTCCATTGGTAGTTCTCTGTATGGATTTAGTTACAAGTGGGTTCCATTTCTATCTGGATTTGCCAGTGCAGAAGAAGAAAATTAAGGATCTCAGGGAAGGGATTACTGTCCCAGACATAACTCTGTTTTGTGCGAGTTTTTTCCCCTCCTTTTTCTGGTGGTGGTG